TGAAGCAATCTAAATTTAAACAAGGATCAGTTGACCCCACGTTCTTTTGTAAGAAAGTTGGGAATCATCTAATGCTTGTTCAAATTTATGTTGATGATATCATTTTTTGGCTCAACTGACCCTGTCTTGTCTTGAGAATTTGAAGATTTAATGAAAAGTAAGTTTGAAATGAGCATGGTAGGAAAGATAAATAATTTTCTTGGTTTAAATATTCAACAAAGCAAAGAAGGTATTTTTATCAACCAAGAGAAATATACAAAGAATCTGATGGAGAAGTTTGGATTGACAAATAGCACGAAGTTACGAGTTCCAATGGCAACTGGCATAAGACTGACTCCTTCGCTAGATAAACCTGCAGTTGACCTAACTCTTTACAGGAGCATGATTGGTTCATTACTTTATCTTACAACTAGTAGACCTGATATCATGTTTTATGTGTGTAATTGTGCCAGGTATCAGTCAAATCCATGAGAACCACATCTCACTGTTGTAAAGAACATCTTTCATTATAACGGAACAATTTCATTAGGATTGTGGTATCCTTCGAAAATTGGGTTCTTTATTCAAGCTTATTCGGATGCAGACTTGGGAGGTTGTAATCTTGATAGAAAGAGCACAAGTGGAGGATGTCAATTGATTGACGGAAAATTGGTGAGCTGGCAGTCGAAAAAGAAAACGTGTGTCTCAATTTCAACTGCTAAAGTTGAATATGTGGTTGCTGCTTCTTGCACATCACAAATTATATGGATCCAAAGTCAATTGCGTGATTATGCAATTAATATCAAATAGATTCCATTATATTGTGATTCTCAAAGTGCAATAAGAATTTGTCATAATCTTGTGCAACATTCGAAGACTGAAAACATAGGTCTTCGTTATCATTTCGTCAAGGATCATGTGGAGGATGGGAATATTGAAGTACATTTTGTGAAAACAACTTATCAGTTAGCAGATATTTTCATGAAACCTTTAGATCAAACATCCTTTGTAAGAATTTTAGAAGGACTTGGAATGATCGATGGAAATTCTGTTCCATGCGAAAAGGAAGAATGATAGTGGACAAAGAATGATTCAAAGGTGCTGAATAAAATGCAATGCAATGTCATTCAGTATTCAGAGGTTGTTGTTCATGGTCAATGCTTCGACCGCTTCGAATTCGTAGATTTGTCATTTTTCAAGGGTTGATAAAATTTTGTATGTTTGCAACAAATACATTTTGTTTCTCATTTAATTTTTGGAAAATCAAAAATCAAAAAGATTTTCGTTTTTTTTTTTGTCATTTATTTTTTGAAAATTAGAAATCCAAAAAGATTTTCTTCTTTTTATTTTTGAAAAATTAAAAAGAACAAAAATATTTTGTTTATTATTACTTTTTAGTATTTTGTTGCAGATATTCATGATGATTTAACTTGGAGAATGATTGCAGTTCTGGGGTCAGGTAAAATTTTCGAATACTTTGAACTAGCTAAGTGGTCCCTAGAAGCATGCTACAGCATGTTGACCGAAGCCTCCATTGACTCAGTATGTGTGTACGAAAGCCTTAATGAAATTTTTCATACGAAAATTTCTTCTCAATCAGGATTGTGTTCATATTAGTCTCCTGAGCTACCTGACTCTTCTCAAATGAGTTAAGAGTTTACTGTTTTGTCCTAATATAATAGAGGTACTGTGTGTGTCTTACTCCAATCTTTTTCATCTGAAAGTTCTTACACGATCACACACGAAGACATATGTCCAAGAGGTCTCTGATTAAACCAATCGAGACTTAGACATATCAAAAATTTGTGTTTATGATCTGACATCATGAGACCGTGATGAAAGTGAAACCCAATTCTCTAAAACTTGTAAGGAATTGATGGGGAACTTTGTTCCAAATTTAACGAAACATTTGTTTCTATACCTTAAATTTGAAACTACATATCATATTCATTTCGTATGAGTGGTCTTGATAAAACATTCAAAACCCACGATGTTTGTTACCCAACAAGATCCAGTACAAATTTTTTTCATGAATATGATTTTCGTGTGAGTTTCATTAGAAATCCAAAGCCACTTAAAAATTTTCAAAGCAAACTTGTCACTGACTACACTGGTCAAACAAATAATTTTTGTTACAATTTCTCACCTTATGTTTAGGTTGATATGTAATGAAATCCTTATAGATACCCAAGAAGTCTAATAAAAGAAGCCCTTCGATACTTCTCTACAAGTATTCGATTATATTTCGCGGGAACATACACAAGCAGTTGATCATCTTTCTTGATTATTAATGAAGTAAGCTTTCCCTAGGGTTTTTACTGCTTTTATGTCGAAAAATTGATCGACATCACTGACTTCCAAAATTTTCTTATTATTGCTTCTCATTTATTTTTTCTAACACTACACTCACGAAATCCTTGAGGTTATGAGTGATACCAACTCAGGCTGATGATTTCGAACATCTGGCATATGACTTCACTTTCAAACCCAAAAGTGAAAGAGCCTAACTTCCATTCAAAAGATGATGACAGTTCCTATTCTATTGGGGAAATCAATACAGCCTGTTTTTTCGGAGATGTATGGTATTCTGTTCGGGTTCTAAGGAGACGTGACAGTTACTTTTTCATGTGTGGCTACTTTGTTGGGCTACTGGAGCGAGCTTCAAGGTGCCACGTAGGATTCATTTAATGTACATCCCGCTTCAAATTCAAACATCAGTGTTACATATAAAAGGGGATTCAAGGATCAATTATCAGTTTACGCAATTAAAAACAAAAATTCTCAAATTCTCTCTGATATTCAAAGCTTTCAAACCCTAACAATGGTGACTTCGCTAATGTCAATGTTCCTTCTCAAAACACTGATGATGTGACTTCATTGTCGATCATGAAGATTCAAGGAACTAACTACCAAGTAGAGGCTAATGTTTCTACCTATCCCGAAGAACTCAAAATGTTGATCGTTGCTTTACAAAGTTCTCTTTCGTCCAAGGCTATGTTCCGATCATTTGTTGTTCCTCTTTCCCGGTTATCTCAAGCAGGATCCACTGCTACGTACATCAAATCTTTGGATGTCATCACTTTCAATCTTGTGAATGACAAAAAGGTTAGACTCACCAAGAAACTCTTTTGTCAAATACTGGAAATCCTAAATTCTCCACCCTAAACTGATGTGCGATTTACCCAAATCGTCTATATGTTCAACGAGATGGGACACCAACCACAACTAACCAAGATCAATGATTTCAAGAAATTGGGTCTTCCTAGTATCCGGAACTTTCTTTTTTGGAAACTTTTTGAGGTGTTTGACAAGTCGGATTGTTGGTCTTGACAAGGGACAGATGGAAGTATACGCCATGGCAGCAGGGCTATACTATGATATCCATGTGGAGTATTCTACACAACTTTGGAAGGAATTTCAAAAGAGTGTGGAAAACACGAATGCTGCTCAAGGCATTTCATGTGGTAGGTATTGGAGCTTTATTTTAAAATATTTTTATGAAAAGGAAGGAATTTTAGTAAATGATGATGACGAGAAGGCTGAATTTTATACATATAATTATCCGAAGAACATGACAGATAATGCAACAATGTTTCCATTTGTTGCTCGTATTTCGAATGCCATGTTGCGACATGTTGATCCTTCAAATGCATTTTTGGTGGTGTACTTGAAAAATATTGATCCTATTGTTCAAATTGGGATATTGTTGCCAAAGGAAGATAAGAAATCCAAACATTTGAAGAAGAATGAGTCTGGTTCTTCTAAAAAGGTTGTTATTGAAACCAAAACAAAGAAATCTCTAAAGAATAAGACTACTGAAGTTTAGGTGCCAGTGGTAACAAAAGTGTCTGTTGAAGAAAATATTTTGATTGAGCCTGTTATTGACGAAACTCCATAGATAGTGGTTATTCCTTCGAAGACTGATGTTTTTCATAGGATCAAGATGAAGGGTAAGCATAAACGAAGGACTCCAACTCTTAATGTGGTACGAAAGCCACATCTTACTTATCAGGGGGGTAGTTTTTCGTGAAGTACCAGCTCCAGTTTCTCCATCATCCAAGAAAAGATTGGCTGAAGATATGGCCAAACAGATTTCTGAAAGGTAGAAGAAGTAAGCACGCAAGCTCATTGATGCGACCTTCGCTCGGCTCGATTAGTGCTGCTCACTTGGATTCTCGGCCGCCTCTGCAAGATCACAAAGAAAGAAGGCCGTCAGCCGTTTCCCAGGAGGAATTCCCAGAAGAACGCTCTGACGGTCAAGTTAGAGAGTGTTTAGGATCTTTGGGTGTGCGCTCCTTCAGAGTCCAGAGAGCTTACCTTGTAGGTCTAAGAGCATATCCTTTTATTCCTAGCTCTCTTGCCTGATCCGTACCAGACAAGATCGCTTTTTGGGGAGATAGGAACAAGGGCGCTGATTGGAGAGTCATGTGCCTTCAATTGTTAGGGTGCTCTTATTGGCTCTAATGGTAATGGTCTGATCCTCCTGCTTGTCTCCTGACCGTATCTTTTGCGTTGGAGTTGGGTGCGTCTCTTGGCGGGCACGAGCCTTTCGCTTGTGCGTTCCACTCCCAAGGGAGCTAGCAGACGCTAAGCCTGCTGGGTCGGGCTTGGTTGGCGTGCGTGAGCCTTTCGTCTGTGCCTTCCACTCCCGGGGGTTCCAGCGGACACTAAGCCTGCTGGGCTAGGCCCGGTTGGCGTGTCCGACTTGTGTTTCTGTCATGCTGCCCTATGCACGTCATCAAGTCCACAAGTCCTGTAGTCATAGCATTGCAGCACTAGCTATGGTGTTCTGAACTTAGTTAGCTTATGCGTGTTGGTTTTTCTTTACCCGTCATTCCGTCTTTAATGGCGATGTAACTACGCATGATGCCTGGCAGTTACGTCACCATGTTAGGCATTTAAATATCCTGCCTCTTCCTTTTCTTTATAAGGGCCTTTAGATGGTTTCTATTTATCTTTTCCTCCTTCCCTCTTCGTCTTCCTCTTTTCTGGTTTATCTTCTTCTTCTCATTTCCTTTCTCATGGAAAACCTTCCCGGTATCCTCCCTTCCGCCGCTGAGTATCGTCAACAGGAGGTCACGTATACCTTATCTTCTTTGGAAAGTGTAGAGTTTCCTGCACCCAGTCAGTATCTCATCCCCTCCCCCTGGAAAGATTGGGATTTACTTGAAAACCTTGGATGCTGGTATCCGCTTCCCAGTGACTGACTTTCAAGAGGAGGTCTTCCAAAAAGACGGTTACAGTCTTCAAATGCTGACCCCTAATGTAATCAACAAAGTGGTTGCGTTTGAGACGATCCGCAGGGCCGACGGTTATCTTCCGGATTACTTTGTTTTCAAGTTTTTCTTTCAATTCTGCATCACTGGGGACAAGTACACTTTTTCAGTCCGGCGAGGGGGGCACACCCTAGTTCCTGATGGACGGACCCCTAAGAACTGGCAAGATAAGTGGCTATGGGTAAACCAGGAGTTGGTCGGAAGCGGCCGGTACTGTGCAAATGCTTTCGCCGATACCATCCCCAAGCTCTTTCCTCATAACCAAAGCATCACTGATTACTTGAAGTGTGTGCAAGTGTCCCCTAAAGATTACTCTGAGGTTTTTCTTTCTGGCATAGGGATGAGCCCCTCTTGGAGGCGGCATGGCAAAATGTTGGTGTTTTTCTCTGATGGCGTGCCTAGGGTAGCACGACAGAGTTGCACCCAAGCCCTAGAGCCGAACACACCAGCCAGATCCGCCCCAGCAGGCTCAGCGCCCGCTGGCGCCCCCTGGAGCCCCCTGGAGCGGAACGCCCAGGCGAAAGGCTCACGCCCGCCAAGTCATCGCTCTTCGCTCCAAGACAAAGTACGGCCAGGAGACAAGCAGTGGGATCAGAGCATTACCGTCAAAGCCAATGAGAGCGCTCTGACAATGGGAGGCGCATGACCTTCCAATCAGCCCCTCTAATCCTGTCTCCCCAAAAAGCAATCCTGTCTGGTACGGACCAGGCAGGAGCGCTAGGTATAAAAGGCATCATTCTCATGCTAGCAAGATAAGCTCCTAAACCGATCTAAAGAGAACAAAAACAAACCCTATAACCATCCTAACTTGATCGTCGAAGCGTTCTCCCGGGAAGCGGCTGATGGCCTTTGTTCTTTGTGACCTTGCAGATACACCCAGGCAACCGAGAAGGTTTCATTCTAAGATAAGAAGTGGGGTCTTACCAGGAGTAAGGTTCCATCATTTGGCACCATCCGTTTGTGAGACGAAGAACACAAACAAAAGCACGAAATCAAGCATCAATGGCGTCCAACGGTAGCGAGCGACGACCGGTTAGTCCCATACGTCCCATGGCGACGTTGGACGAAACGCCACCGCCTACAACGGCCAATAGGCCAATTTTGGGCGAAGGAAGTTCTACAACAGCAGTCGGAAATATTTCGCAACCGCTGTCCCCTCAACAAAGAGCAACTCCGACAGAGCTACTTTCGCCCACACAGCTTCAGACGCCACCGTTCTTTGCTTCGCCGCTGCAACAAACGCGGACACTCTACTCAACTACTCATACTTTCCCTGATCCAAGTGTGAGTCTTGTGCTTCCGGTAGTATAGGCCTCTACTACCATTCACACCTACTCATACTCATCCCAAGTATTGTCTCGCAGTTTCCCAAGTCACCATGCAACAAATCACACAACAATTTCACACACCAGATAACAAAACGAAGATTTTATTATTTCTCGAAACTATTACATAGGTGTTCAAGTTCACCCTAGACTATGCCTCTACTAGGCTACATCATACGAAACTATGGCTACTGCATAATCCGATTTTCGGGTAAGAAGTCCTCATTCTTGATTCCTTGCATGGTTCTCTGCCTCGTCAAGGATCATGTGAAATGCCCTCGGCCTTGGTGGCGTTTCTGGTCTTGCTGCTTTATTTTTCCTTGGGCAGTCTCTGGACATGTGCCCCTTGCCTCCACATCCGTAGCATACTTTGTCATTATGCGTGCAGTCTTTGGAATAGTGACCAGTCCTCCCACACTTGTAACAAGTCACTTCTTCGTTGCACTTTCCACCATGCTTCTTCTTGCATTTATCACACCATCTTGCTTCACCTCCATTGCTCCTCCAAGCTTTGAGAATTTGCTTTCCTTGTTCGGCCTCGAAGATCCTTCAAACTTCCGCTTCTCTCCTACCTTATCTTTTTCTAGACCCTTTTCTCTTATCTGGGCCTCTACGTTCTTAGCTGCCCTAACAGCTGCTTTCAAAGTAGTTGCCATTTTGACCATTGGGCCAAAGTCAGTGGGCAGTCCGTTAGCAAACCTATCAATCTTGGAGAGTTCAGTAGGCACCAAGTAGGGGAATAGCTTCATCCTTTCGGTGAATGCGGTGGCATACTCATCAACACTCATCTTCCCTTTCTTCAGGTTCTGAAACTCGTTGTTTAGGTCTATCAGATCTATCTCCGAGCAGTATTGCATTTTCAACTGTTCCAAAAACTCTTCCCACGACATCCTTAAGGCTTCTCCTCGTGGCATCGTATCTGCCAATAGCTTCCACCAGCTCAAGACTCCAGTTTTCAGTTGTCTTACTGCGAAGACAGTCTTCTGTTTCTCGTTACAGCTGCAGCTCTCAAACACCATCTCCATCTCAGAGATCCAATCCATAATCTCAACCGGCTTCGGGCTTCCTGAGAGGCTTGGTGGTTTCGCACCCAAGAAATTCTTGTACATTCGCCCATCCTTGTTGTTTCTCCCTTCTTGGCCATCCCTTTGCTCACCTTGAGTCCCTACTCGACTCACTTGGCGGCTGTAGTTCCCTTCCTCAGATTGCTCGGGAACTGGCTCCGTCGGTTCAACATGTACGGTAGGTTCGTCCCTATTCAACATCTGTCTCATTTCTTCCCTTTGTTCAGCTAACATAGCCCGAATCATGGCTTGAACTCCAGCCATGGTGACTGGCTCAGGCGCAACTTCTTCAACAACAGGTATTTGCTGAACCACTGGGGGTTGGTTCCTGTTCCCATTTGCGTTTACGTTTCCGCTACGGGTCCTTACCATCTCGATCTATACACCGAATAAGGTGAATTTAGACCTTTACTTGACGTTTAAATCATCCTTATCGCTCCGAAACGTTTACATGCTAGTTCTAATACCGTAGTCGTACGTTTAGAATCCTAAACACATAAGGTTTCCAGATCCGGTCGGCAACAGACCATAGATCCGAACAATTAACAACATATCATGCACAAAGCATTTAGCACATAAAAGCAATTTAGGCATCATTCCTAAAATAAGCTAGTGCTCACACCTCACAATCATCGCTTAGCATTCTAAGTTTAAGTCTAGAAATAAATCCATATTCCTAGTTCGCTTAAACTAATGCTCTGATACCAACTGTGACATCCCCAAAATCACGGCCAGAAAAGACCGATTTTGTTTATGCTTTATAAAAATCAGAGTACTTCATTTTATAAAAAGGTTGCGGAATTTGTTCCCAGAAAAACAAGATAAATACGTTATTAAAACATTTTCGAAGAAACGTATTTTTATTCATCTTAAAACGTTTGGGATGTCATCGTTAATACAGAAACATAAGCATAAACAGAACTTACAATTATTTACACTAGTGATCTACATCTCTTTAAATCTCTCAGTGTAATGTCACTTCATATCGCCACCTGTGATGTAAATAAACTGAGTGGGTCAGGTTGGGAAACCTGGTGAGTACATAGGGTTTTCAACCCACAATAATATAATTGTTATGTTCAATCATCAAACAATTAACCCAATTACCCATCCCGTTATCTTCTTTACTCCTAAGAGTTCTTTACTCCTAAGAGTCATCTATCCTGCATTCGTTTATTCCAAAGTCCCTTACTTCCAGGGTTATAGGACTGGCACTAAATCCATAGCTGCCGATGTTCGTTCGTAAAGCACTAATTCCATAGCTGCTATATCTTACTCATCGGGTACTAAATCCATAGCTACCAGTGCTCAACAGGTACTAAGTCCATAGCTACCAATTCCTACAGGTACTAAATCCATAGCTACCAGTGTCTAACTAATAGGTACTAAGTCCATAGCTACCAATTCCCAACAGGTACTAAATCCATAGCTACCAACGTCTAACAGGTACTAAGTCCATAGCTACCGGTGTTTGTCCCATAGGCACTAAGTCTATAGCTGCCAATGTATACTCACGTCATCTTCTATCTCTCATCATTCATCTACCCATCATCATACCCAACATATTCGTATATATAAAATACGTATACAGTTTAAATCCTTTAAAACATGTATAAAACGTTCATCCAGCATAGACAGCAAGTATTCAGATAATATGCACACATAGCACGTAGTTTATATAAAATACTTCATATCTATGTGTAAGATGAAAGGGACTATGCACTCACCTGATAGGCGGTGACTCAACACTCGGACAGCGCTTCGATACTCTAAAGCAAATTCCTTCGATAAAACCTAGTATCAACACCACTAGGGTTTAGTCTACGATATCCGCGACGAATTAATAGTCTGACTATTATTATTATTATATAAGCGTTAAATAACACTCAATATAACTCATAATAATAGCCCAAATAATTATTTTAAGGTCCTAATAATGTTACTATAATTAATTAGAAGCTATATTAAAACTAGCGTAGGCGTAGCTCACTTACAGCGGGTTTTTCGCAAAACCGGGCTTCGCTGGAGCAGCGTTTCCCGAGCCGAAAGGCTCTTTTCTCGGAGCCGTCGGGCGCTCCGGGGCTTCCGCCTCGTGCTAGGGAGTTACCCTAGGCTTTAGGGGGTTAGGGAGGCTTAGAGAGAGAGTTTAGAGAGAGAAAGAAGGGTTTGAAGGTGTGAGAATGAATGGAACCCGGCACCTCTATTTATAGGGGTGCTGACTGGCCTACTCGCCGAGTAGGGGGACCTACTCGCCGAGTTGGTCCATGTGGTGGCCTTCTGGTGGTGCCACGTGTCCAATTCTGGTGGTGCCACGTCACCCCCTATCGCGTATCAGCCTTCAAACTTAGAAAAATCATAACTTTCGCATACGAGCTCCGTTTTCGACGTTCTTTATATCCACGCGTAGGTAAAATCAAGATCTACAACTTTCGTTTAGACTCCGTCGGCTAATTCTCGACCGATCTCAAATTTAACAGTAGGAGGCGTTTAGACTGTTAAATGACCGCGAAGAATTCATAACTCCTTCATACGGACTCCGTTTTCGTCTGTCTTTTTACCGTTGAGTTCCTATTAATGAGATCTTCAACTCTCATTTAGGTCACGTAAGCCAAAAACCGCTCGAACTAAAATTCGAGTTTCGGGTGTACACTGCTAAGCCGAATCTTAGAAAAATCATAACTTCTTCATACGAAGTCAGATTTGGGCGTTCTTTTTATGGATTTTCTTGGTTTAACATATTCTACGACTTTCGTTTAGATCACTAAGGCTAAAAAGTCCTCCATCGTAAATTCACTATTTACGCTTCCCGGTGCCGTGCCGGTTCCGTCGCGAAACTTCGACGGGCCATAACTTCTTCGTTATAACTCGGATTTCGGCGTTCTTTATATGTACGGAAACCTTGTGACATATTTAAAACTTGGTTAAGATTATTTATTCTAAATAATCTTTTGTCGAAAAGTCATTTTCGACCCCTATTGCCTCTAAATTGACTAGCCCGGAT